ACTTGTGTAGTGAGTTACCGACTGCTGTCTGAATTAGCCGCCTGCCTCGAGAACCAACTGCACAGAAAATCTCTTAAATGTAGCAAATGAAGCGGAAAGTCTGAAAGTCTGAAGGGGTTGAGATCGGCCAATCTAGATTGATCACTCTTAAAGTGTATCCGTATTTCGCACTCGAAATTCGAATGTCGCAACTGCCCCATCGCTTTTGTCTTCCAACAACTTCTTGTTCGACTTGGACACTTTCAGACACTTTCCTACCAAATTTGTGGTGTCAATGTGACATATGAGGACTGCGGTTTCATTTCCAATTTCTGTTGTATCCCCAAAATGTGGGCAGAAGTTTTCACCGCCCTGCACCCTGCACCTTCCCCTCGGCTCCTTTCGCACGCCTCGCCTCCGTCTGGGGTAATTATAAATAGCTGACTGGGGCCCAGACTCATTTGTTACTCGGCTCTTTAGCCTACCTGGCTGGCTAGCTGGCTATCTCTCCCATCTGTAGTATAGTATCTATGTGTGTGGATCCGGCCCACGCCCACCCTCTGCAGGAGGAGAACGAACACTTCCTGCCGAGGTATTTTAACATGATGCTCAAGTGGAGAGAACGCTTGTTTTTAATTAGTTTGCGCTGACCAGGAAGGAATGCCAGGAGGGAGAGAGAGAGGGCTAAGACGCAGGATGGAGGTATCCACAGGAACAGCCATGTGTCTGGATGCTCGCCTCTGTGCACAGTGTGTGCTACGAACTATTTTATTCGAAAATGCTAGTCATAGGGGTAAATATTTTTGCAATTTATACCACTTTTCAGAGCATAATTTAATTCGAACAGATTCCCAAGGTCCCGGGTGTGAGTTTAGACAAGAATATTCAAGCTATAAGGGGGCACAAAGATGTTGCAACTAATAATGCAACAAAAATAATGAAAAATGTTCCACATAGTCATAGCTTCTGTTCACATAATAAATGTAGTACCCTCCCACACAAATATTTACGAAAAAGAAAAGGCTAGAGTCTGTACATCGTTGCAGAAACTCAATGCAAATCAAAGACCAAAGGGCCAATACATATACCCCTGGAAAAATATTTAGAATTGACCATTTATATATTCGAGCTGTCTGGTTAGAGAGTTTCCTTAAAGGCAACATAACCTACGCAGTTTTCATTCGACCACAACCAAAAGATCATATCCATATACATAGACACACATACATGCATAAATGCCCCAGAATTTGGTGGTGTGGCTACATATATGTATGTAGCTATAACCTATATAGGTTATGTTCGCATACCATGAAAATCAACTAGACTGTATATAAATATCACCTTAACTTAAGTACGCAAATCACACAGATCTCGATACACACTCACATGACCTGCAGTTGTTGTAGTTGTAGTTGTAGTAGTAGGAGTTTCGCAATACATTGGCGCCGAAACTTCTCGAAGGGTTGCAATCACCAGCACGACGTACGGCGACACATGAAAAAAAAACAGACTTTAGTATATTTTGACCAGCACCACGATTATTTAAAACTTCATTAAACGACAAAACTCCTGAGGGCAAACCATACACGTGCTGGTCAAATATTCTCAAATCGTTGAAATCATTAGCTCCACGCTCCACAGCACATGAAAAAAATAAGACTTTAGTATATGTACATCCGTATGTGTGTATGCATGTGTGTAAACGACAAACTCTTGACGAACGGCAGAGCACTACTCGAAAAACTGTGCATCTAGCTTTAAGGTACATATTTGTAAAAGAAAAATTACGCTAAGAAACGGATTGAAGCTTGAACTTAGTGCTGTTAAAGCATATCAATGTCATCGATGTTTTTTTTCTCAAGTATCGATGTTTTTGCAAGAGATTCTGTCTAGATTGCTGCAAAATCCACAGACTCTGATAAGGCATTGGGCTTAGATCGGCAGACGCTGCTGGACAGAACGTTAAATGCTTCCTATGACCTTATTGTTAACTGCGAAAAAAAGAGATAGCTTCAACGGAACAGCATGCAGTCAGAGCGAGACAGATATATGCGTCAGTTCGGGCGCTCTCAGCAGTGCTGCCAGATTTTGAGCATCAAAATATGCTAAATTTCACCAAAAAAAACAAGCTACAAATTGCATAAAAAAGGCTAACAAATTGTGTCTATATTTCATCTAATTTTCTATTACTCGAATCGGTATAGCTGGAACGTATTAAATTGGCCAAAGCTTTATAGTGCCATCTGGACTTTGCCAAGGGACTGAGTGCATTTTTTGGTGATATTAAAGAAGGCTAGATTAAAGGCTATAAGCATTTTCATAATTTTTCAAGCATATCCGTTTTCAAATAAGCTGGATCTAGCCTTAAATAGGCTAAAATGGCAACACTGGCTCTCAGTATTGCCGAGAGTAAAATAAGTCCCGAAAGAGAGTCAGCGGACCACCTTAAGTAATTTCAAAATGGGCTAGGAGCTGGCTGGCTGGCTGTATGTTTTGGAAAACGTAATTTTTCTGCAGAAATAGTGTCTCAGTTCTTCGATTGATAGCCGGGAGACGACTCTGTAGAGGGCTACGGGCACTAATTTTGAGTTTCGTCTCTCATGCTAACTCTCTAATCGCAGCACAGTTCTTAAATATGGCCGTATTCCATTGGACTTGACTTGGATTGGAACTGACTGGGTGGTTGTTGGACTAGACTAGACCTGAACAACATTTTAGGTTAAGTCCGGATGAATCCAGCTGTACCTAAATCTTGAATTACAAAATCATTGGAAACATTGAAAGCATCGACTGTCGCAAACATCGTTGTTTCTTCAGCTCTACTAGAGTTGGGTGGTTCATTCCATGGGCCCCGTTGTAAAAGCATTTGGTGAAAAAAATGTGCAATAATCATATCGTAAGCAATAATCGTTTATACAATCTGATAAAAGTGTTTCTAAACGCTTTGCCGTCTTGCAGGAGATGCCACCACCTACACCTAAAAGGGCGCGGCTCGTGGCCGCTCGAAATGCCGCTGCCACCCAGCGCTACAACCGCGCAGCCCCTGAGCCCGACGCGGCGGAACCTGCGAACGATGGCTGTGTAGTTGCGGCTCAGGAATATCAGATCGACAATAATATAGACTTCCGCCGCATCCACAGGGAAGGAGACAAAATGAGGAGCGATCCGACGGAGGGGTGAAAAGTGGACTCTATCTACAACTGGAGAGCCATTATCCTTGGGCCCTTGGACACGCCCTATGCGGGCGGTCAATCGCTGCTGACTGAGCCCAACCCCGATAGCCCATTGAACTGCATTGCTGCGTTATTGTACAAGACAGACCGCTTGGCCCGCCAGTGGACCGCTCTGTACGCGAAGCCCGTCGCTTCATCTGTCGCTGGCCATTCAGAAACAGCTCCTCCATAACATATACACACAATTTGAAGGATTACATGTTATGTTTTCAAATACAAAAACTACCAATATTCTAACAGATTGGTAATTGCTTTTATTGTTGCAGCATTAGCGTATGGATATCGAGAGATCTCAACGATATGTATGTATAATGTACACATCTACATGTGTACAATATATGTGTGTATAACACCCCAATTTGTGGGTTAACTTCTCGTTATTCTCCTTGTGTGTCGCCCTATCATTCTTGGAAAGTGGAACAGCAAATGAAGTGGAAACGGTTGTCATTAGCAGAAGTGTCGATCTTTGGCGTGGAGAGACAATACATACATACACACACTTGGATGTCTGGACATTTAATGTCACGCCTCGAATTTCCGCATCGCAGCTAATAAACTTTCCGTTTTGGTTTCGCTTTTTGTTCAACGACTGTGTTCATGTGTGTCCGCTTTTCACTTCCTATCGCCAGCCACTTGGTTTGATTTTTATTTCCATTCTGCTGGCTGTTGGCCATCGCTGATGATGAAATTAGCCCAAAAGAGAACAATCAAACCCAAACCCCCAGCACCTCAACACCTCATGCCGTGTTAATCAACCATTAATAATGAAGCCACTCCGACTCCGGCCGAGAAGGCTGACCAACATCCAACATCCGAATCAGAATCCAAACAGTTTTCGGCCAAATGAAGCGTGCTAAATGCAGCCGATTTATTTTCTATATCCAGCTGTGTATGTATACATACACAGATCCATATACACATGCACACCGCTACATATATGTGTATGTGTTCATACATATGTATGTGTTCATGTGGGCTACGGCTACGCAGCAGCGGAAGACAAACAATTTCTTGGAATTGATTTCTTGCGGTTTTTGCGGCGCGTAGCCCTAAAAATGCACAAAAGCCCAAAGAGCGGACTCAAGAGAAGAGAAGAATGGTTCGGGTGGTGCGATTGTGGTTAAGGTGGCAGCCACCGCCAGGTGGAAGTGGATGTGGATGTGGATACGGATGGGCATTGGCATGGGCATGGGCATGGGCATGGGCATGGGCAATGTGCAGATGCAAGGGTATCTAAGCCACAGCGCCAGAAGTTATCGGTGACAGTTGCGGGTGCATCACCAGTAGCTTTTCCCTGCTTCTCTTTGTCTCCTTCCCGATAAATGTACACACATACATACATATGTATGTACATATGTGGTTTGCGCCAGAGTTGTGTGTGGGGCTAAGTGACGGGTTGATTGCTGACATGAAATGTGGGGCTTATTAGCTAATAGTAATGGTTTTGCATCAGAGTCCAAAGTACATCTTCCATCAGCGAAACGAGGTTGTATGAACAACCAATGTGTGCCCACAGGCCCTATGTACATGCGACGACAGATTGAGGCAAGGAAGGAGATGAGGCGCAGCTCGCAAAACCGCAAATTCGAGTGCATCGGGACAGAGGTGTTGTTCGCCAGAATAATTGGATATTTTCATCAGGCGTTTGATCTGGTAGTCCAGACCGTCAAGCTCAGGGGCGTGGCTAGGCAGCCAAAGGCCCTGGGGCCCTAACTAAAGTCAGCTACTCTTTAATGGTTACGCCCGATTTTATTTATGTTCTGAATTTTGTACAGTTTACAATAGACGTTGCCATCAAATGTCAGACTTTATTCACAAGCTGCTGCGCCTTATGGCTAATTTCGTAGATTTTTTGACTTCTTGTTGGTTGCCGATGGAGTTTCTACGTTTAGCTGGTGAGCGAAGCATTTGGCCAGGAGTAGGATAGCGCACGGCGCTTTCTATGGTCAAATTCTCGACGGGACGAGTACTGAACTCATCGACTCTACCGAAATTTGGCAATGAAGAGCGACGGCGACGGTGCTGCGATGGCTGCTCCATGTCTGCCAGCTCCGGCAATGGAATGACGGAAACACGTCGTTTTTTTTGTGGCGGCTGATCCATTAAATCGTCGGAAGCTAAGATTTTCGAGGTGCCGCTTTTTGATATGCCCTGCATAAAAAATAGGAGAAATTTGTGAGCTATGGCCAATATTTCGATCACCGGTTGCGGTTTCATGCAAAATTACCATAAAATCCTTAATCTCCGCCATAAGGGAGCCGTCGAACAAAGTTCTCAAGAAATTCATTATTATTTTTTTTTTTAATTTTTTTTTTTCACGAAGACGAATTTCTGCAAATTACTTTACTGCAACACGTTTTCTAAATTCAATATGTCAGCTGTTCTTACGCTTTATGGCATTTTTTAGTAGATTAAAAGTCCGGCAACCCTGTGTGGCAAAATAGTAAGGACACACTTATTTCTGTGCTTTGTGTGGCCACACTGTTCGCTTTTTACATATCAAATTGAAACCCAATTAAATCAAGTCTTCTTTTTTTTTTTCATTATCCAATATGATTGATATTTAAATTGGATATTTCAAGAAGCTGGTATTATTATTACTATTTAAAAACTTTACTGAATTTCGACCATACATACATTTCTATAAAGTAAAGGTTCATCATATAGAGCCTTCGGAAGCCTTGAAATGGCTTGTTGGGTATCCAAGACACGTACCGTTTGTGAGCTGACCCAGATCATCTGTGGGGTAACTTCTCATTTCAGCTAAAGACCGCTACAGACTATAGCTTTGAGTGTAGTTTGGCTAGATCGGCCGTTGCCGCTTAACGGACCCAATATTGGATTGGTTTCCTAGGCCTTCCACAATGGAATTGGTGTAAGCTAGTGCTCGGAACGCGTGGGTCGAACGCTCCTCGTCTCGATCTTTCGACCAGCTCCCACCCTTGGATGGGTGAAAGCCCCCTTACCAAACAAAGAACAAGCCGTTTGTCAAATGCATTTCATTTGTAGAAAATTTGACAGTTTTATGGGGAAGTGCGATAAAGCGGCCATAAAACGCAGGGACAACTCTATTCTTTGCTGGAGGCATAAGCATCAAGCATCTAGGGGAGAGGTAAAGGGAGAGGGAGAGGAGTTGCTCTGAAGTTGAACAAAAAGATTATACGAGGTGGAGCCGATTCATGGCAGGTGCCATAAAATGCTAAGGCGGACGCGGATTTCAAATTCGTAAACGTTCGAAAAATTGTAAAAATATCCCCCCATTCCCCATTCCCCTTCCCCACTCCACATTTCCCATTCCCCAAGTCGATGCTCGTAAATGTTGCTCGCTGAGGCCCGAAAATAGTTTTAGGCCTCTCGAGGCAATGAAAACTGATAGATGACAGGTTGGGATAGACACACAGAATCCAACAGATAAATAGATAAACGAAAATGTCTTGCTTTGACAATGTCTAATTTCTATGCCTCAAATGAGAGTCGAACTTTGGATACCCAGCGGGGGGACGGGTTCGATGGATGAAATAGAGCTGGTTCGATATTTTATTGCTTCAATGCATCAATCATCAGGAGAGGAATCCCCATCAATCTGCCATTTAAATCAATTCGTAACTTCTGCACTAAACCGAAATATCAAAAAAAAAAAAAATGTCGACAATTTTGACGAGCCGTATACCCTTGTGTACCCTTGTGCGGCTTATCCGTGGCCTATAATACATATTTCCGTTTTAATTAGAAATCAAACCGTTGACGGCTGCCTTGCTGCCTTTGTGCCCCATAAAGCTAACGAGTTCCAAAACGGCGAGCAAAATCCAAATCGCACTGCGAACCGGTTCGGCAGGCGAACCAAATTGGGCAATGAGCCACACAGCTTCGGCGAAGGCGACGGTAACGTCGTCGAGGCGCCAGCCATAAACTATTCAGGCCAAAAAATATACGATAAATTTGTTGTTGCTGGAGTAATACCCATTGCCAGCCGGTTCTTGGTTCTCATGGGAGGTTCAATGAGAGGCGTTTAGGAGGCAGAGCCAGAGCCAGAGCCAGAGCCAGCGACAGAGCCAAAGTTGGTAGCGAAAGAGATTAGCTGTAACCAGAGACGCGCCAACATGCGACTAATAGAACTATTACACATTACCGTGGTCGGGGCTGTCGCTGTCCATGGAGTACATGGAGTAGTATATATGGAGCGTAGGCCGTTCCCATGGAATACATCTCAGGTGTGGCTCCTTGGCCACCGTCTTGGCCACAGTTGCGCCTGTGCCTCATGCGCTTGTGCGCGTGTTGAAAATTGTTAAGCAGTCAACTGGAAAGTTGCTCCACAGATTTATGGGCACTGGGACTCGGGGTCTGTGCTCATATTTGGCCACCTCCAACGGCCAACGGACGACGGACAACGGACTCCCCTGGACTCTGCTTTGGAACTGCGCCTCGCACAGGTGTCTCTGACAAAGCCTAGCGGACTACAAATTATTGTGAGAAAAATCAGCTGTACAACCAGAAGAAGTTGGCTCTGGCTCTGGCCTGGTCAAACTCTGATTGATTGACTGACTGAATGCTTTTTGCCATGTGGCTGTCGGACAGGCTAACTGGCGGAATGTCTGCCAGACTGACTAGCAGTTAGCCAAGTTGAGTAACTGTTGTTACAGAGATTGCTTTTATTTTTTGTTTGGCTTGTACCCAGGAGACAGAGAGAGAGGCATAGAAATTACGCCGAGATTTTCTGTGATTATCGCTGGGTGTTTTATGGGTGTTTTATGGTAAGCAAGTGCTCTTGATCATCGCAGAAAGATGTCACAGCATTCATTAGGACATAATCAGAAATGGGTTTAAGGATTCTACTACTAGCTTCTTACTATTCCATGACATTTTTTTGATAGCTTAGGGATATCTTTGAATACATATGATTTGAAATAATCTTCATTTAATGTATATAGCGCTAGAATTATCATTTCCCCCAATATATTGGGGAACCTGTTAGAGCCCTGGAGGATTTTTCTAGGTGGTATCGGGAACCCTCTATCCATGGCTATTGAACCCGACTATTAGTCAAGCATTAAAATATGCAAAATATCCACCCAGCTACGCTTTATGCATAATTTCTCTACGATATTCCAAAAGACAAACCGAAACACCGCCCATGGAGTGAAATTGAACAAAACAAGGCAATTATTAGTTAAATGAGTTTTTTGCCCGGTTTCCCCCTTTTGGTTCCATCCTCTCGCTGGGCTTTCTTTATTTCTTGCTCGCTTGTGTATTGTACTCGTATTTAGGGTTTTGAATGGGAATCGGGGCTGCTTTTTCATTTGCATGCACACTCGTATTCATTTAAATTTAGCAACAACAATGGGGGCAATTTGGCAGCAGCTTCTGCCCTGGCTTCGCCCCGGCTCTCAATTGAGCCACTCGGCACCCACAAAAGGGAGCACTGTGCCCTGCTCTGCTCTGGCATCATCCATCTACCATCCATTGAGTTCAGCCAGCCAGCCAGCCCCAGATTAATTCATTCATTCATTGCTTTTCATTGATCTTTCGCTTGATTCCCTGAGACCGAGTCTTTGTTTGCGTATTTCGCTCCCCAAACAAATCGTTGGGCCATTCTTCCCATTGCCACGCCCTCGGCCATTGGCTAATCAGCCCCCGCCACTATTTGCATTTCCACCGATTCCATACAGTCCAAGAGAGGAAGACAGGCCAGATCACATCGAAGAGGCCGAAGATGTTCTCTGTAAAATTCGAGTCAGCTGGCGCCAGCAAGCTGCGCGATGACGAGACCTTAATTTCCATCATCTGTGTCTTTAATTATTCAAAGTAATTAAGTTGATGGCGCTCTAATTGTGCCTGACATACATACAATATGTATGCCCAATTGCCAGTTGCTGCTCTGCCCCCAACTTTTAGCTTCGAGCCTCTCACATATCTGCTTTATTTTACCAGTATTTTTTTCGTCGCAAAATAGGGATGATTTCTTATCGGTTCCATACGAATATCACCCCTGTTTTTGCTAGCTACGAAATTTCTCTGATCTGAGTACTACAAAACGTTGCGAATTGACTGTCAAATCGGAAAAGTTCGGGCTCCAGTTTTCGCAAATCGTTAGGTGGTTTGCTAGTGAGCTTTCGATTTCAAACACACGAATATACATTGTGGGCTCTGGGAAATATCGTGTGGGAGTGTGTGTTGGACGACTGCACCTCCGTTCCCTTTTCCAGAGAGCGATTGGCTTGGACTCCGACGACAAGGATGGCTCTGGTGAATCCTGTTAATATTTAAATCTCTCGCTTTCAGTATGGTTGATGTGATAGCATTGTCTCATAATCAATGATATTACATATAACCCAACATAGGTTCTTCTATCAATTGAGTACATTGGGTCCCCAATTTGTTTGGTGGGGAATCATTCAAAATATTTGTTAAATGCACTTTTTTGTGAAGCATCGAAAGGCGGAAGTGTTAAATGAACAAAAAGTTAAAAAAAGTTTGTTGTTCAAAGAGTTTTTTAGGGGGTTCAATGATTGCCTTCTAAACGAGCGCAAAACCGTGGCTGACCCAACAATTTATTGGAAGAAAAAACCAGCTCCATTTTCAAACAAGTTGATGTTTAAAGCCGACAGGCGACATGAACAGAATCGGATCAAAATTAAAACCATGCCCCAGCATCCCCCTCCAGCCCTTTGCCTCTGGCTCGCGCTTTAAACGTTGGCCTCAGCCATGGCGGAGATACTCGTAAGCCCCTCATGCAGCTTCTCCTCCCATAGCCCCTTGGATATTGGTTTCCAATATCCCCCATCAGTGACACGACGACCTCAGGACAAATCCGGCAAATCAGAATTTAGTTTAAGAGTAATGTACTCATCCAGTACAATGGTATATTAAATTCGTATCTTTTTTTGGGTGGACCACTGGCATGGAGCCCTGGAATTTCCATTGAAATCGGCTGGCCCTAGGCCTTAGAGGTCAGGCCCGACGAGAGTCAAATACACACACATATTTATGTAAATGGATCGGAAATCGATACAGGATTAATGGGAAAACGTCAAGTGGCCGACACGGCTATATGTTCGATCGCAGAGAGCGAGATGGATCTGCCAACGGCATATAAAATACCAGTTGAGATACATATATCCGATGCAAGACCGATATGAGATGAACTTGCTCTGCGCACGCGCGCAACACGAGCGCTAATTTCTGGCTCTTAATTAATGCGGGCCGCGGACCAAAATCGAAATCATATCAATATTCAAATGAGCTATACCATGTCTCTCCCTTTCTCTCTCTTGCACACTGCTTCTCTCTCTTTCTCTCTCTGCGGCTC